GTGTATGTGCCTCAGCGAATCGAAGATCGTCCAATGTAAATCAGACCATATACCACTCCAGAGTGACTAGTGCACATCGCAGCTTTGAAAGCGTAAGAGTACCCTAGCCCGGTGATCGATCTCTACTGCAAGTCACTGTCATTTGCGAAATACGCATTCTCCTTCCATTCCTGAAGTGCAGCGCGCGGCATGTCCGATACAGAGGTTAATGCCGTTTGGACGCCCTGACTTTTGGCTGCGAGCTCATTTTTAAAGTGCCTAAATCACCAAATCCGCTGAAAACTTGTATATAGAGGTAATCTAACATCCTGATTACGACATGACATTCATTCTTGGCGCTGGCGCTAATGGAGAACACTACGATTATCTGCCCTCTGCTAAAGCTGAACCCAGAAGATAATCGTAGTGTCTCGTTAGCGCCAGCGCCAAGAATGAATGTCATATTTGTGAACAGGATGTTAGATCACTCCTGTATACAAGTTGTTCAGCGGATTTGGTGATCTAGGCCGTTCAAAATGAGCTCGCAGCCAAAAGTCGGCGCTTCTAAACGGCATTAGCCCCATACAGATGGATAAACGGCTCAGCTTGCTTTGTCCTTTGAACCCGTTGGCTTCTGAACACCCTAGAAAACAAACCTTTTGTTGCAGCCATATGTCCAAGGTGAGTTGAAACGGAACCGGACCGTTGGAGAAACCAGTACTGTCAGAAGTGAACCTCTACAAACGATCAGTGGGTTTTGATAGGAACTGAATTTTGCGGTTATCAGCTGCTTCACATCAAAGAAGTTCAACATGATTTGAGGAGCAGCAAAAAGCCATTTTTCAGTGAACAGAGTAAAATCAGCGTGTACCCTCTAGTTCGCTGCGGACGGTTGGGCGTGTCAGGCAGTATGAGTGTGTCACGCCGTCAAAGCCGTTCTCTGCCTTCTTGTTGAAGCGCGCATGCGACAAAAAGTGGTAGAAAACGAGTAATACGAACGATATGATACAGTCATATCACTTGCTCGCTTTAACAACTGGTGGAGAACGGGTTTGGCACCGCGCCAAACTCATCCCGCCTGACACGCCCAACCGTCCGCAGCGAACTACACTATACTCTAGTTCGCTGCGCATGCGATAAAAAGTGGTAGCAAATGACTAATACGAACGATATGATGCAGTCATACCTTTGCTCGCTTTAACAACTGGTGGAGAACGGGTTTGGCACCGCGCCAAACTCATCCCGCCTGACACGCCCAACCGTCCGCAGCGAACTACGCTATATTCCCACTACTCTACTCACTTTCACTACGCGGAAGGCTTCCGAGGTTGATTTCCTTGTAGAGTGAATAGGGTGTAAGTCCAAAGCTTACAAGCTTCTGTGTAGCCCTCATTTCGTATAAGTCACACGCTCTAGTTCCGTTCTTAGACCGCAGTGGTTTTCAAATGCTTACAGGATGACCTGCGGGGCCCCAACCAAGTGTCTTCCGTTGTAAACTGACTCGGAGATCCCTCACGCTGGTGCGCTGGCGTAGCACTTGTCATTACCGTAGCTTTGCGCTGCAGGGTTGAGCCGTAGCATCCCTAACTGATATAAATTACAGAATTACTAAAACATTCAATGGAGACAGAAGGAACAGAAACTTGGGTAGAGCCGCGCATTACGCTTCTACGCAGAGGTGGAGGAAAGGTGTAAATTCTGATTTAGGTGATCTCTGCCCATGCAAGCAGATGTTTGTCGAGGAAAAAAATTTAAGGAGAGTTGTCAGAGAAGAAAGGGGAGTTCTCCTCGCGGTACAGCGCCACTCGTCCTCATCGTAGCTTTACAGATTTTGCTACTGAAGTACCCAAGTATTCCGTTCCTTCCGTCTCCAGTGAATGTTCCAGTGATTCTGTGATTCATGTACATACACCTTAGAAGGAAAGGGTGGTAAAGTGGCAAGTGGCACGCTTACAACGCGTTTGGTCCATGGACCAAATAGCGGATCGGCTCCGTCTCGGCCATCAACCCTCCGGTGACGCCAAATTAGTTCCAGATTCGTCTGAAAATATGAGAACACTGACTTGCACATTGGCTGACCACCTTCATTCATTGTTTAGTTTGAAGGTTCGGAGGTAGAAAGCATTTCCAAAAAGGTGTTGGTCCACAGCGAAAGCACTGCCTTTTTATCCTCTTTGTTTTTGCTATATTTTTCTGCCTTCCCAGCGCTTTGAGTGTCGTAAAGTCTTCTGTCTCATGAATATACAACGAATAATTTCCAGCAGATGTTGTGGAGTGCTACCTAAAAGCATGGAGCAATTTCCTTGGAAAGTGTTACAATATGAGTATTGACTTCTTATGTTAGACTGCCCACCAGGAGAAGCGTTGGAGCTCGGTGGGCTATAGGAGACTTGGGGAGCAGTAATGACACTGGCTATGGGAAGTCGATTCGATAAAAGAATGATAGAACCCAGCCCATCGTGTAACTCTTATCGCACACAGTCTTGTGACGCTTCCAAGTGACCCCTTTCGAAACTCCTCGTAGAAGAGTTAGGCTATT